CAGGTTTTAAATTTATGTCCGATTAAGTGTGCCTCATACATTGTTTGCAAAGTGGTCCGCAGTGACTGAGGAGTTGAAACGCTGTAATAAACGATGCAGCAGGCATGTCTCTGTCTGACACTCCTGGGTTTTTTTTTTATTAGAGAAACACCTTCCTCACAACTTCAAATAATACCTGTGTGTGTGTGTGTGTGTGTGTGTGTTGTGTGTCTCTCTCTATTGTAGCATTCACCTGTGCCTTACAGAAGGAGGTGCTGTATCATGGAAAACTCTTTGTTTCTGACAACTATGTGTGTTTCCACTCATCCGTGCTGCTCAAAGACACGAAGGTAACACGCTCAGACACACTGAAGCCTAATCACACTAATGATATTATTTAACACTGACATGTCTGAAAACAGCTCTGGCTCTATTTGAAATTCATATTTTTTCACGAAACAGACATTTTCAGCTTACATGTCCCAGAACTTGTAAAAGAACAATTGATATTAAGATTAGCTGTCCTGAGAATGTGTTTTCATCTCCAGCATTTAGGTTTTTACCCTTATATCAAAGACTGACTTCACAGAAGGAAATTATTTTAGGATAAAATAACAAGCTGGTTCTTTACCTTGGATATCTATGTTTGAGGTTACATTGCACAGGTTCTATACGTGTAATATGATGTTAATGTCTCCTTGAAGGTGGTACTGACATAAAAGTATTTTATCAACATATTGCAGGTGGTGATTCCTGCGTCCAGCGTCAGGGAGGTGAAGAAACATAACTCAGCTTTATCTATGTTGTCTATTCAGACTGCTGATGGAGAGAAGGTGAGAATTCACACTTAAATATATATATAAATATATATATTTAATTATTTTAAGGTTCACGTTCTATTTTATGTATTATTCTTTATAATATTTGTTATATTATATTATATTAATGTTATTACTATTTGACTCCCTTTACGCATTAAATTTAGTACTAGCAGAGCAATAATTTATCTAATTATTAATAACAATAATTAAGTGAGCTTGACTTAAATTTGTCCTGTGGTTGTAGTGTTAAATACCAATCAATATAAGGAAGGATTGGAAAGTGAGCTATAAGGAAAGGAAATTGTTTTTAAAATTCCTGCAGTGAAACAGCTCATCGAGCCAAGACAAATAAACTTTCTTAACACTGAACATAGTTTTAATTTGTTCCAGGATTAACCCTTTTTCTCCACTCTTCCTCCTCACTTTTCTTTCAGTACTCATTTGTGTCTTTAAGGCACCGTGAAATGTGTTATAAACTCCTCCACACTATCTGTTTAGATGTTCAGGTAGGTGTCACGCACATAAAGGCATCATTTCTCAAGGGAAGGACATTCTCGTGTTTAAACTCATGTTTCTGTGTTTGTGTGAAACAGGAGGAGAATGTCAGCCCTCATCTCTCCTTTGCTGAGAATGAAACTGATCATGAAATGGTATTTTTAATTTTTAATCTAACTCAACCAAACCAGAAACTTAATTTATCTTGTTATAGTCGAGCGAATATGAGTGCATAATGTGCGTTGACAGACTTTCAGTGCCACTGTTCTTGTCTGCAGCCCTCCAGTTATTCCAGTTTGGAGGACTGTGCAGATCATGATCTGAACAGACAGGATAGCATTTATCTTGATAACAGCTTTCATCAGATGTCCAGTGAAGGTGAGGAAATGATCAGGGAGACAGAGAGCAGTGTGTAATGAAGTAATCATCAATCTAACTGAAATATCTCAGCAATACCACTGAATGCAGCAATGTATATTTGTGCCTCTCCAGGTCCAACAAGATCCAACTCCATCCATCAAAGCAGCTTAGCAGATGAAGACGACAGAGGTAAGAGCTCACAGATACACACACACACAGTTTAATATTTACTCAAGCTGCCTATAAAACATAGAGGAACGTGCCATTATAGAATATCAAACCGATTTTTCTCCCAACCAGCTGCAGCGTGGATTTGGAGGATCATTGAGAGGGTCACACCGTTCTTCCTCCTCAGAGAAATTCAGAATTTCAGCAGTCTCTTTTACCTCTACATAATGCTGTGAGTATCATTATTCATCACAGTTAAGGCTCCATCTCCAGTGCTTTAACTACATTTACACAAGTACTGCACTTCAGTACAATTTGAGGTACTTTAGTATTATCATTTTAGGTTTTTCAGCAGTTTCTAGCTTCTTTACAAATTTAGAACTACCAAACATACATTTAACATACAAAACCAAGTCTCATCCTCAGAATACAATGCAAAATAAATGAAAGATTGATTAAAATCATTTTTTTATTTGAAAACATATTTTTATGATAATACTTGTAAATCCTGTTAATGGAAAAAAGTTGGAAGTTGACCCCCTTTGTAGTTGTACGTGTATGTTTAAAAAAGCATTTTATTGGGTGCCCAGTTAGCTCAGTGGGTAGAGCTGGCGACCCATGTACTAAAGCTGAGTTGTTGCTGCAGCGGCCCAGGGTTCAAATCCAACCTGCAGCCCTTTGCTGCGTGTCATCCCCTTTCTCTGCACCCCTTTCCTGTCATCTTCAGCTGTCACTATAATAAAGGCAATAAAAGCCCAAAAAAATATACTTAAAAAAGAGAGAGCATTTTGTTAAGCTTGAGCTGAGACTTAGAAAGGTAATAATAATAGGGCTTAAAATTATCTTCCAGCTTTATGTAGATTTCTTACACCTACAGACACGTTGGTATGTAACTAACTGGACTGGCTGGAAACTAATGTCCTATTATTAGAACTGTACTGTACAGTAGTGCTCAACTTTAGAGTAATTTTGCACAACACACTTTCACTTTAATTAAAGCATGCAGTCTGTAAGGTATTGAAAAGCTACACAAAAATTCTGCTTAAATATTAATGCATCTATAATTAGAGCCATCCTGCATATTACATATTACTTGATACTTTAAGTATATTCTGCTGATAATACTTTTACTATAGTAAAAATCTGATGACAAGATTTAACATTACTTTTACTTTAATTATAGTGAGTGAAAAGTGCATCGTAGTGGGTGGCATCCAGTTGACTATTGTGTGTTTGTAGGACCGTGTTGCTCCTGTTGGTGTCTGGGTACATTGGGCTGAAAATCATTGCACTGGAGGAGCAGCTACAATCTTTGGGAGCCCTGACTGAGTTGACTTTACACCACAGAGAGTGAGTAGACACACAAAAAGAAAAAATATTAAAAGAGAGAAATAGGAGGAAGTCATTTGTGAACTGGTGGGGGAAAAAAATAGTGAACGTGGATCAAACCGGTTTTGGCGACTTTTAAAACTTCAAAAATCAGATTAGACATGAACAGAGCAGTTCTGCAGGTACAGCCACCTGGACAAGATAGGTAAGTGATTACATTCCACTCGTCACTGCTGATTATACTTTTACTTTTACTTTAGTAGAAATCTGAAGGCAAGACTTTTATTTTAACATTACTTTTAGTTGACTATAGGATTAGTACTTCCTCCACCACTGTCCTCTACTCATGTTGCTTCCTCTTTCTCTGCAGGTACCAAGAAACATAACCAGTGGCAGGAAACAAATCCTTCTAGAAACTCATGCAATGCACCACTCTGTTAAGATCCTGCTGTACATTGATCCCTGTCTAGACTCCCCAAAGCATCTTAGCAGTGAAACATACAGTAGTACATTCTTTAGTGAAAGAGGTTTTATCCAAATAACAGTACAAATTAAACCGCTGTGTGAGCACCATATACACAGGATGCACGTCACCAATAAGATGCTTTTGGGATGTCTGAACCAGACCTCACGTGGTGAACTACATGGACGACAGACTGTGTTGGCAGAGAAGCACCAGGACATTATTTCTGTTAGGAGTGCACTCGTTTTCTGCTGACAGATCAAAAAATTTATGCACAAGGATCTCCTGCACTGAGCCATATGGAGGCAGCCTGCTGAAGCCATGTTTATTTCCTGGCCCGTGAACAGCTGAGCTCAGCTACAGTAGGAGAGGTTGCTGGAGTCTTCGCCATCTTGGATCAACACAACCTGCAACACTGAAAACACCAGAGTCAATCTTAACCAGGAGGAGAAGGAAGCACTTTGTTATGCTTGACTTGAAATCATTTGTATGTTGTAGGAAGTCAGGGTTCACATTGTTAACTGCTGGAGCCTAGTGACATTTTATTTTAATGACAACAATCAGCCAGCAGAGGGCAGTCATTCCCTAAAACTGTTACTTATGAGACATCAAAGAAGGATTTCACTTGCACCAGAATGTCTACAAAATACAGATGTTATAATTTTTTTGCTACAGTCCTTTCTGTAAATAAATTTTGGAGAATTTATGACGTGACAATAACACTGAATATGTTGTACATAAGTACATAAATGATTGGATATCTGCTCTATATCGTGGTTATTTAAAAAATACACAGGTGAATGTTTGCATGTTTAAATCTGATATTAATTGAAACACATTAAACTATTCGAACCCTGTACATTATCTCCATGCATCCCAGCCAATCTGGGAATACTTAATATAATATGATATCATCTAAAATACATCAAAATGTTAAATCTTTAAGTCATTATGTACATAGAAATACTGCAACTTTTGTATCACTGACTATGATCTTTTACTCATTGTTATTAACTTATGCACACTGCAATGTAAAAATACGATTGTTTAAAACAATAAAAAAAACACAACAATACAGTCCGTTTCATATTTTTGTACATAAGTGATCTTTTTTATTATTTTGTTGTCCATAAAAAGGTCAAGGTTCAGTCCCATGAATTAATTTCATTACATCATATTCTCAGTTCAAAAAAAGCAACATAAAATTACAAATCATAATACAAAGAATAGAATAGGTAAGTACAGTAACCATATAAACAGCCCACTAATATTGTCTACCCCCCACCCACCACTGCCCCACTCATACTCTAGCACAAAACTCATAACAATACATCAGTTAGTATCAGCAATAAAAAAATTCAAATGAACGTCCCGTTTTTTTTTTTAAAAAGCGCTTCATTATTCCAATGCCATGAGTTCAGCTTTACCCTCACATAGAATACATAATAGAGATAACTTCCCACCCCGTCACTTGCTCTGCAAAACACAATAGACATGCATACAGTTTTCACTGTTCAACCCTCCCACCCCACCCCTTCATCAATAAACATTCAGGGCCAGAGGATACAATATACGGCAACCATAGTGGTGCATCAATAAAACGACAAGTTTCCACCCCGTTTCATGAACCCCATAAAGGAAAGGTGGATCCAGTGGTTTCCCTGATAACACGAACTGTCCGGGAGAAACTGAGGCCGACTTCTTCCTTCAGAGAGAGGCGATAATTCTCTCTAATTCTGACAGCTCAGACCCCTGGTTCAAGATGGTAACAGATTTCCATTATTTAAATAGACACGAAGCACAGGATGAGACTGGAAAGATTCCCTGTTCGAAGTGATGACAGAGAGCGAGTGGTGTTCAGTATCCTTTCCACTGCTTACCAAGACCCACTTGTACTCCCAAAATGGAGTAATCAGATCAGTGCTAGTTCAGTACATGTTCCCTTAAAAAAAAAACGCAGCTACTATCACTGAAACTGATGGGTCTCCTTTGCAGCAGACACCTTGTATAGATCTGAAACCAGTTCTTTTACTTTTTCAGGTCGACACACAGGGCCTATTACTACTTATTCAAACATGATGTTAGTATCCTTAATGCTGGCCTGTAGAAGACAGTCAATAATAATGAAGACACACAAACTTACATTTTATACCCTTATTACACTTTGGATGCTTTATACAATAGTGCTGAACTTAAGACCTGCTTTTGTCATGCTTGATCTGATATATATAAGTGTAAATATACTGTATACTACAGTACATGTATTACGTGTGTGTGTATGCATGTGTGTATGATGTGTTTGAATGTGTGTGTGTGTGTGTGTGTGTGTGTGTGTGTGTGATGATGTGCAAAGGTGTGTGTGGTGGAACCTGCACCACACCAAACAGTGAGAGGCTCAAATATGGCTTGTGTCAGACATGAAGCGTGCTGCCACCCATAAGAGAGCTCCTGTACATTTTAGGGCCACAGAGGTTAAACAGAGCTAGTAGGCATGATGTCCACGTCCTGGCACCCGATCTGAATCACACTGTTAGTCACAAACGTTGACACGCATGGTTCTGAGACAAACAATCCATGGCCCTACACTACATCAAACACGTTCGGATTAATTACAACAAGACAAAAACGTTAGAAGAAAGAAAATGTGCGTGAGGGTGAATAAGAACAGGAGGCTGACTAACCCTGGTAATGAGTGCTACTGGAACAAGACTTGGAAAACAAACTGTGCTGCTGTAAGACCACGAGTTAATCAATATTACACAAAAGAGATTGTGTTGAAGCAAAAAGATTACTGTGAATAAAACTGACGTAATCCTCATTAGTTTGGTGAACTGAGCAGCTTTTTTGCCTCCTTACACCTTTAGAGCCTCCAGATGCAGCCAGAACAACAACAAGCTCCAAAAAGGTGTATGTTCACCAGAACAGACACATTATTCACAGACCTCCTCAACAGCTGCACTTTAAAAAGGTATAGTTCAACAAAAATGCTTTTCTTACCAATTACCGGTCACATGAGAAGAAGGGGGGGCTATTTCTTGTCTGGTCGCAGCCACTTCCGAAAATGTTGAACTATTTCTTTAAATCTGACTTATTTGTGCTGTTACTAAGTCAGTGCAGTCTGCCCAACCTTAAAACAACACGCATCAGTAAATATTGAAGGGCTACAACCCTCTGTTTCACTTCTATAGCTGTTCCATTAATGCCAAAGAAATGCCCACATAAACAGAGATATCCTCAAAAGACCTGTTTCCATTTCAACCACATCGTCATTCTTGATCACAAATACATAGGACTGGATGGGGGAAAAGCAATACAGGGAAATCAAAATAATTCCCTGTAAGTTGCTGCTGCAATTCTGTGGGCAGTAAAAGGCTAAAGCTACAGCACAGCCAGGAAATGAAGTGGAAGCTGGCCATTCTGTGATCTTATCAGAATCAAAAATGAGGGAGAGGAAAGTACGAGACACCCAACAGCCATAGAAGCTATGACAGTATTCCAGACTAGTGTATCCACCAGAAAAAGGAGAGGAGATGGACCCCCAAACCACACGAATAAAGTAGGTTAGTGTTAGCTGGACAACAACTTGGAGAATGCCCTGGCAGTCAGATGGATGTCCATTAACAGGTAAACAAGGAGTGGAGGAGGGGGGCGGGGAGAGGGGGGGCACATGCTTGACCAGTGTTTGTCCACTGGAGAGAGAACTGGTCAAGCTGTGGAGGTATTCTTCATACATACTCGCGCAAAAAAAAAAAAAAAGAGAACAAAAAAAACCCATCATTATTGATAAGTGTCCATAAGCTTCCTCCACTTGCAGCTGTCCAAGTCATCAGGATGTCCTTCATTTCTTTCAGCACTGCTTCGCTCAGAAACTCTCACACACACACATACAAACATGTGCACGCATTACTCATATGTCACAGGTCCATGGAGATATGAATATACACTTACACCCATGACCCATACATTCACTAACATGGCATACTAAAAAGGACCAGTGTGTAAGATTTAGTAGCATCTAGCGGTGAAATTGCAGATTGCAGCCATGTGAATACAGCTCAGATTTCCAAGCGTGTAGGAGAAACTACGTTGGCTGCGAAACCGATTGTTACACGAATAAAAACATACCTGTGAATATTATATTCCATTTCTGCCAATAGATCCTCCTAAATGTAACACACTGGACCGACATCTGTGTGCCTTTTTTGGACAAAGCACATTACTGTTACTTCTTAATTCATGTGTGTGACACATTTTAAAGCTGCAATTCAAAACTTCTCTCACGTTAAAAACCGTATCTGTGAAGTTGATCATTCTCAGTTATTGTTTTTAGTGTTTCACCACACTCCACCGCACAGATGGATGCAGCTAATGATGTATTAAAAAACGTTCTCACCTTTAAAAGAGGACATTATTTGAACATGTGTTGTACTGTGAAAAGTAAATTAAAGTTGTGTTGTTTCAAAGACACACAGATGTGACAAAAATCACACATCCTTTTTTTAAGTCAGTTTCTCACCCATCACGCTGACATCCTCACTTAGTGTCACACGCACACTGTCTCATTCATACAAACGCAGAGAGGCTGTTGCTTGTTTCTCAGGCATGCTGTGCAGCCAGGTCCTGGTTGATGAAGCGCCGTAGCCTCTCCAGGTACTGACTGTAAAGCTCAATGTCGTTGTGACCGGCTCCCTCCACCCAGAGGGGCTCCACGGCCTTGGGACAGCGCTCGAACAGGGCAAGGCCGTGAGAGAAGTCGATCACCTCGTCCTCTGTACCGTGGATGATGAGCACTGGAGACGGGATCTTTGACACTTTCTCTATGCTGGAAGAAAAATAATGGAGGCTGTTAATGCACTAGAAATTTTAGATGATGAGTTATTTTTTCATGGGTATCGACTAACAATGACAAATAATAACAACGGCCATGTTTGAGATACTTTAAAGTGATATTACACCTAAAAACTCGAGACAGTCATCATTGCTGTCCATCCAAATACTGATACGGTTACCAACAATCATTGTTAAATTAAAATATGGCTAAATTCACTACAGTGCATTTTAAGAATATAACGTGCGAATTAAATTTTTTCTAAAATTTTACTTAGAAAGCACTCCAAACTATCAGATGGGAAGTTTTGTTTTGGGCTAATCTGACAAATGTAATACCTGACAAATCAAGGTGCTTCATCACATTTTCAGCAGAAAATATAGACCCCAGGGAGAAGAGCTGTTACCAAGGTAACAATCAATGGGATTGGGGATCCAAATAAAAAATAAACAATAAGATCTTGTAAACCCATTAAATGATACGCCACATTGCCCACGGTGGTCTAATATATCCAGACATATTAAAAGGGGAAAATAAATCGATTTAACGGATATGAAAAAAATATGACGGTAGATACATTTTCTATTGTCTCACAATACATCATAATATTGTCTAATCTTATTCATTTTAGTCCAAAGTGACTCACAAGAAGCACATTCAACCTCCACAGGAACAAGAGCTAGATGTGTGACACAGCTTTGGTGTTGCACTATAATTCACTACAATGCTCCTACGTTCAGCAATTTCAGTGGAAGCTGTGCCACTACAAATATAAGATTTTTTGGATGATATTGGGCAACAGCGGGGCAGCTGATTATAACACCGGAGAGATTTGTGAAGTCTTAATGGACATTTGCATACTTCTTTTTCCACAGTGATAATTTGACTTTGATTTAAATAACTGAATTCAAACACAGCCACTGTTCTATACTCTTTACATATACCTTTAAAGTTTTCAATGCTAGTATTTGGTACTAAAAGATGATGATCTGAGTGAACTGTCACTTTTTGTCATTGATATTAAACTAAAATACAGAGAAACCTACTTAGGGAAGGCATCAAAGCAGTATGTTTTCTTGGTGTCTGGAAAGGCCACTCTCATGCCAGAGGTGAGAGGAGAGTGGAGGACCACAGCAGCGCACTCGAACCGTGATGCCAAGTCTACTGTGGGCACCGTGCCGATGCTCTGTCCATACAGGATGATATTCTCAGGACTGATGCCATACCTGAGACAACACACACATAAACACACTTTAGCCAAGAATATCAGATTATTCTGCTAGTATGCAAAAGGGCCGATGTGCTGCGTACAGGTGTGTAGTTTTCCATATGCAGATTAACATGGTTCAGTAAGTCTTTCAGCACAGTAAGCACAGTACAGTGACTTTTATGTAATAAACAAAGTTTGAAAGAGAACATCATAAGCAAAGACAGCATATTGCTTTACCTGTTTAAATACAATCTCAAGCACAGAATCAGGGACTGTGTGAGTAAATTCGGATTCTGTATAACACACACAGTAAATGTTTGCTTTCTTAAGTTTATTATTTTTTTCAGTGGTTTCAGAAGTTACTCTGTGTTGCCACCTAAGTTTCTACTAACATTAGGCTCATTAACCATGCTGGCAGCAGATAAACAAAAGGAATATTTAGATCCTGCTGCTTCATGCAGAGCATAGTATGTGACAGCCAATCGTCAGCCTGTTTGATAGAGAGCCATTGTCTAGCTTTGATTTGACTGGGTGATTGTCAAAGAGAGGGTACCATGGTCAGCAGGGACAAAGTTTGTGTATAACTGAGCCACCCAAATGTTACTTTCACAAAAAAAGTTGCTGGCTAGTGATGTGAGTGACTGCCACTGATTTGATCCACCAAAGACACTTTAACTGGCATTTGGTGCTTGTTGGCTGTTCATTTCAGACCCTGTGTGGATGGGAAGGAACAGTTTTAGCCTGCTTACCGGGAGCGCAGGGCGTGCCAGGCAGCATCAATGTCAGCGTAGAGGTTCTTCTCAGAGGGCTTGCCAGTGCTAACACCGTAGCCTGAGTAATCATAGGAAAAGATGTTGCAGTTGATGCGCGTTCCTAAGCCGATGTAGAAGCTGCTCATCTGGCCCAGGTCTACCGCATTGCCATGGGAAAACAACACTGTAAACCTAAGAGACAAGGGAGGATGAAGAAAGAAGGAGGACGATAAGAAACAGGCTGAGGATAAGCAGGGACAGTGCTGAACGAGGAAGCCCCAAGTTGATGGGAAAACATGGATACCATCGTATAACTGAGACAAATGTATTTGACAAGCTGCTCTATTTAAAGCATGAGGAAAACACAGAAGTAGAGGGTTGTGATTTGTGTGTGTAGTTTCAGGCTCAGGGTGTTCAGGGGTTGGTGTGTGTCTCACCTGGCATTAGGGGCACAGCGAATGTACATGCAGCCCACCCTGTTCCCTCGGGTAGATCTGGTCAGGAATACATCCGTCACATCCAGCTCTCTCTGTGAATACTGGAACTCCGCTCTCTCCGTGAGATGAAGCTTCCACCTGCCCTCACCCCCGCTACTGCTGCTGCCACCACTCACCCCTCCCCCTACTCCTCCTCCCCCTCCTCCTCCTCCTCCTCCTCCTCCTCCACCTGCACCTCCTCCACCACCAACTCCGCCGCCGCCTCCTCTGTCACTTCCACTACCAGTGCCCAGT